TATATGTATTGGATAAATACCCAAATCACTACTCCAAAAGATACTATTTTGTTATATATTTTTCAGGTTATTTTTTATTTTACTTTACTTTACGAAAAATATTAAAAAAATAAATTTATAATATATATACAATCACATAACAAAATAAAATTAAAAAAGATATAAAATTTAACGTAATTTAACAAATATATCTACATTCACGGATAAAACTTGAAAGAAAATTTAATATGATGAAAGTTGATAATACATTACCAACAGAGTTGTATACCTTTATATTAACAAAATATTAGAATTTTTTCTCTTTTTTCGTAATACTTCTTAAGACGTGCACAAAATATTTCTTATAATATACACAAAATATTGCAAGAATGAAACTATATCGACAAAAAAATAATATGAAAATTACATAAAGTATTAAATAGATATTAGATATTAGTTATATATGGCTCTCCTATTTCCGACTATAAAAATAGAGAGAGAGAGCCATAGAGAGGAGATATTCTGAGCGTAAAAAGGGAGAGATCTGTGCATATAGAGAGAAAGAGAGCTGTGTGTAGAGAGAGAAAGTAAACTGAATAAAAAGACCGACATGTAGTGGAAAGAGTTGTCTGGTGCGCAGTGAGAAACTTGTCTGTATGTGCCGAAAACAGAAAGTCAGATAGGGAATAGTGCAACGAGGTGCGGCTGGAGAAAGAGACCCACATAATGAATATATGAGCATTAGAATGTATGCAAATGAATTATTTGTGAATTAGTATAAATAAATTATGGATGAGTCTATGTATGGGTGTAGTGTATATAGGTAAGAATGTATAAGTGTCATGGTTATAGGAATTATCTTAGAAATTCCATTAAACTAAGAAGGTTATGTATGTATATATGTAAAACTATACATGTATCTGTTGTGTTTATGTGAATAAAATTATTTGTATAAAGGGTGTGCATGTATATAAGTGTATTGATTGATAATTAAATAATTATAAAAGTTAAACTTTGTAGGAATATGGGTAAATAGAGTATACTTGTTATATGTGGAGATATATAAGCATTTAGGTTTTGTAAGTAGGTGTGCTAGAGCGATGAGATTAATTTATAAAATAATAATGAATATTTAAAAGATGTAAAAATCCGTTTAACCGGTATTACTGAGGGTGGGTGTGCGTGTAGTCTTTTAGCGTGTGACCGTGGTGAACCCTACCTGTGGATACAGTTTTAGCCAGACATGGTGAAACGATAAGAATTGTGAACTGTATACTGTGTACTACAAACTGTGAACTGTGAACTGAATTAGAACATATTCACGTAGTAGAGGGGATCTTTACTGCTCTCGTTGATGCCAGTGGGAATGACATCGCACGATGAAACTCTTAA